AACGGTTATACTAGCATTTCTGTTTTTAAATTTTTTAAAACGTGTACTCATTTTATGATAATAGGATATGAGACTTTAAGTGCCCAAATAATGGTGTTTCTAGCTCCCCGGCAGTTATCTAGACGTGGGGGACAGTTCAAGAAATCTGAATTGAGTTGGACTCCATAGTGTACTAGACTTAAACATTAGAGACTAGGTTACATATTTTTCGAACATCAACTAACCTTCTTTCATATATATCATAAATTTCAGGATCATTACATCAATCAAAGAAAAAACAATTATATCACTAACTAAACTCTAACAATTACGACTACAAACCCTATGATCAGACCTAGAGACGGTCACCCCTGAAAAAGCAACACGAATCGCTAACCATGTAGCGGGTTTGGCACATCCATCCCTGTTCTCATAGATCCAAACATATTTAATGACATACAAAAGGCTGAATTTCCAAACAAATTGACAAACCTAACGACATAGACGAAAACAAGAAATCAAATGACAAAATAGTATTAACTAATTGGAAAACTCTCACGAACCCTACCACCTCGATCAACCCATGGCGATGGTTCAGAGGGAGGCCGTACCATCGGTACCACTCTAGTTGATCCTCCCTTGTCGATCGAAATCTGGCCTAGCCAAAACGAGATTCACAGACAAAAAAAGCATTACACAACAAACATGATGGGTATAAAAATGGATATAAGGGTAGGTACAAACAACATTTTTGTTAATCGAAATGCTTGTCTTATAAGGAGTACAAAATTGGGCTATAGAAGTGTGTAATAATGATTAATGATTAAATGGAATTTGATTTGTTTCAGCAAAGGACTCGTTGCAATTCCTCATAAAGTGGATGGATCGGTTCCCGTGGTACAAAGGCCGGGACGTGTATCTTGCCGGAGAGAGCTACGCCGGTCACTATGTCCCTCAGCTGGCTCGAGAGATTGTGCATTATAACAATATTGCCCATCCCAAAACCCCCATTAAGATCAAAGGGTTTATGGTAATTATATCTACATTCATCAATTTGCCCAAAAAGGGAGTTACGTTTTCCAATAGAAGTAACATAATTATGTCATACTCCGTACTAAAATTAAGTGTCATATTTTGATATTATCAAACTTTTATATGGCAATGTTAATGCTATAACTGACACATTTTTGGATGACTTCTATTTAAGAAAAACACTACACTCATATATGGAGTAATATGTTTCTACTCTTATTTAAACAATTTTCTCGCGAAATATAAGTTTATACTTCAATACTTCATACTCCACTACATATGAATGTAACATGGATTCATGCAGGTGGGGAATGCAGTTACGGACAACTACTACGACAACCTGGGGACGGTGGAGTACTGGTGGAGCCATGCCATGATCTCCGACAAGACTTATCGGCAGCTGGTGAACACCTGTGATTTCCGACGACACAAAGAATCCGACGAGTGTGAATCTCTTTACTACTATGCCATGGACCGGGAGTTCGGAAACATCGACCAGTACAACATCTACGCTCCTCCCTGTAACCATTCCGATGGCTCGTCGTCGACGCGTCACCACATGCGGCTTCCTCATCAACCTCGTCCCGCCGCCGCCGCCGCAGCAACATACAGAGGCTATGATCCGTGTACTGAGAAGTACGCAGAGATCTACTACAACCGTCCCGAGGTCCAAAAAGCGATGCATGCCAACACCACTCGCATTCCATATAAATGGACTGCTTGCAGGTACTTAATTCACCATAAGTAACTTAACATTACATACATCTATTACTCTGTGTAGAATCTGTTGGAAACTATGAAACACGGAAACTCTCAAGAATCAAGATAGAGTTCGTCTTGCATTTCAAAAAATTTAGGGAAACTCTCCAAACACTTGTTTATCGATTGAACGATACATTTCTTGTTTCACGTTTCTCCATGATTCATACATTTTCGTGCAACATAGGTTCGAGATACACAAAATGTGAGTGCGGTAAATTGTATTTGGAAGATTTTGTCTTTATTTGTGGTGTACTTTTAAAATGAAAGCAAATGGTAATGAGTACAGGCAAGTGCACAAAACTAAACAGGTTTGGTAAAGAAAGTTCAAAAGACTCTTAAACTTGCATTCACTTAAGATTTTGCTTGAAGTGCTTAAGTGCTCCTATGCTCTATTAATATTTAGTGTATATGTGTTTCACTTAGAAAGTGTCATTCATTTCCCTGTGATTTTAAAAAGGTTTGTTTCACAAGACGAATTAGATATTGAGTTTAGTCAACGGTAGTATTTGTATGCGATTGTATTTCTATCTAAGGAAAAATGAACTGGTTTACTCATATTTGATGATATCTCTCAGTGTAAAAAGATACTCCATTCAAATCAACAAGCTAAGATTTATACATGTCTGTTCATGGACCATGAATCATGATGCATTTGAAATTATTGCGAGTAAATTTGATTGTAATTAAAACACATCTAATTGTAGTGAAACGCTAAATCGGAACTGGAATGACACTGCTGATTCCATACTTCCGATCTACCGAGAACTAATTGAAGCTGGCTTGAGAATCTGGGTTTTCAGGTAAAAATCATAATACTGAGCTATACTTTAGATTACAATTGTGTTACATTTATATATAATCATTATACTGGTAACATATACAAAATTGCAAAAATTGTAGCGGTGATGTGGATTCAGTGGTACCCGTAACTGCTACCCGTTATTCGCTTGCACAACTCAAGTTGCTCGTCTCAACTCCATGGTACCCTTGGTATGTCAAAAAACAGGTTAGTCCCCCTCATCTTGAATTGGAGTCCGTTTTCTTACACTAAAATCAGTTAAATCTATTAAGATTTGAAGGATCAATTGGTCGAACCTCGTGAATTTTGAAAAAGAAATATAGTTAAAGTATACTACTCCCTCCGTCCCTATTTAAAAGCTCCACTTTGAAGTCACCCATATTAGAAAATATTTTTTCCCCTTTGAATTCCCAAAATAAGCTTTATACATTATTTGACAATGTAGAGTAAATTGTTTTGACACTGTTGCAGTGTGCTATCATCATCATACCATAGTATAAGGGTAGTAAAGAAAATTGATATAATTTGATATTACTTATTTTAATCATGAAATCAAAAGCTACTTGTTTGATAAAAAATTGGTTGTGAAAATAAGGGTTACCAAATGGGGTGTTCATCTTTCAAAATTTAAACTTTTGTTTTTTACTCACTAATTCATCTTCTGACTAAATACAATTTCAATTTCTCAATGTTTTTTGTTTGTTCGAGAAAAGGTGGGAGGATGGACTGAGGTATACAAAGGGCTAACCTTTGCAACAGTACGAGGGGCTGGACATGAAGTTCCATTGTTCAAGCCTATGGCGGCTTTGCAATTATTGAGTTCATTCTTGAGAGGGGAACCTCTTCCCAAGTCATAGAGGTGGACACATGTTGTGACCAAGCTAACTATTTTATGTTAACGTTTTTTATATTAATGTTCTTAGTCAACAAATGGTTTATATATAATTAGTTGTATTATTGGGTGGGGATCAAATGTGGAAATATGTCAAGTGTTGTAACATCAACATTATTTGCTAATGTGAAGTAAATTTAATTTGATGTAGTGCCAAATCTTATGTAGCGTACTATCGAGTCATGGTGTGGTATGCGGTCCTTTATAAAATTAGAAGATTCAATTCGTTAAATGTTGTAAGTTGTGACCAATCCATGATGTATATTCAACGTGCTTATAAACCTTAGCTATGAATAAAGACTTGATATATTGGTTTGATCGGGCATATTTGAGTTGATATGAAGGGATGGATATAAAGAATAGGGTAATTCTTTTTGTACACAAAATTTGTACACAAATTATACACCGTCTATAATTTTGTGTACAAATGTAATTTTCCTAAAGAGTGTTTCACGTTCCACTTCAGACAAATGGTAATGATTTCAAATTAAGTAAAAAGTAAATTTTAAGAAAAACTTGATTGTAATTCAATCTTCCTAGTAATCTGACTATCTTACCGTATGGTCTATGAGAATAGTGTGTTACAACTTACAAGACCTAAACCACCTCCACGCAGGCCTAAACGAAATCGGAAGAACCGCTTATAACATTGGGATGGCAAACTAGAAAGTTAATAAAAATCACGACGAAAGGACCAAGCTAGAATAGTACCTTTGCACCCTTTAAATTCTCTAAGAGGTGAAGTTATTCATGCAAACTTGCAAAGCCAAGTTGCTACTTGAGTGAGTGCTAGATGTGTTCAAAGACTGCATTTTATAACTTGTTCAAGTTGCAAGCCACTAATTTTTTTACTCTGTATTAGTAAGTAATAGCAATAATATTTATTAGTAATAATACGGAGTAGTTCCTATTATTATGCCGAACATTTATTTGTAGAACATTGCGAGTATCATTGAAAAAAAAACTTCAAAGTTCATTAATTTTGTACATAAACGTTAAGTTTATACCTATTGTTGATAGAGTTGATCTGATGATCCTTTTGTTAATCTAGAGAGAAATTAGATTTAGAATGTTAGAGATAAAGTGTGATTTTTTCATATTCATTCATTTTTCCACCGTTACAAAGGTCCCAAAAAGGGTATGTATAGGCATTAACGTTAAAGGCATTAACGTTACAAAGGTCCCAAAGGTCGCAACGCGCGAATGTAATATGCCCAATACTAAACGTTGTTGAATTTGTTTTTAACTTTTGAGTATGAATTCGAAATGATTGTTTTTAGTATATATTGTTATAAAGTGTGCTACATGTTCGATATTTTAGAGTAGTTTTGTACTGGTATAATTTATAGACATTGTTGTTTGAGAATGACAAATATGGTAGTAAATGTTTTAGACATGAGTGAATGAGTGTAATGGTTTGAGTATAAGAGATAAAATGTAAAAGGTTTATTATATGAAATAAATATTGTAGTGTTTCATTGCATAAATCAAACAGTAAAATCCTTATATATGCATCAATAAGGATTTATTTTATTCAACATAATAAAAAGTCCTTTCTCCTTGCAGAATCTTCATTCAATGCGGATGGATTTAAGTTTTCCATCTTTGTTCGCTGGAGTTGGTGGTGTGTGTATCACTTCTTCGGGAATTCCTGAAGTTTTGGTAGGGGTGCTGAACTTTCGCTTCAATGAAGAGGATGTGGGTGTATTTGGCATGACACTGTGTTCGGTGGTTGAGGTGTCTTCAATTTCTTCCATGCAAAGGATTGTGTACGCTGTTTTTGTTTCACCGTGGAACTTAGTCTTTCTGTAACCCACTTTGATTCGAAAATAGACACCGTGGATCACCTCATTTTTTGCCTTCACATTGATTCCTTCTTCCTGCATGAAAACAGTGTAATGGTGTGGGTTTTGTATTGAGGTATTTTCTTGAATGCAATGAATATACCTGGGCTTCTTTTTCAATGATTTCTTGTATATCCATGACGAGCAAGTCCTCTCCCATTGCTCCAAAGAGTACAGTTTGGATCTCATTATCCCCATCATTTATTGTTATAGGAACGTTGCACCTGTTGATGTAATAAGTCAGTTATTAGTATATATTGTTTTATTATTCTATATTAAGTTGTTACCTGGCCTTAGCAATGCTTTTCTGGTTCCCGCATTTGCGACAATGAAAGATTGCGTTCAAAACTTCTTCAGTCGCTTTGCAACATGTATTGCACGTGATTTAGTAAAAGGACGGAACTTCTTTGATTTTGACATTTGCAACGATGCAGGAAATGCTTCCCTGTATATTTAATTTATTGCACAAGTTAACTAATATCATAGAAAAAGTTATATTGTCGAATTAATAAAATATGATTTTCTGCATGTAGACTTGACTATGACGTTGATTTAGTTAATATAAAGTCAAATTCTTACTCGTATCAGTATTATAAACAGGGGGCTAAAACTGTTTAATTCCAAGAGTTGATTTTTTGAAGTCACAAAAAGACCTTTTGTCCATGTTGACCTTACAACTTATACTATAATGAAATACTATAATCAAATATGTTTAATTACATAACATTTTTTAACGACATACCAGAACATCTTGTTCCTAAGTAGCTGGAATATGTGACTCGTAATAACTACATGTTAGACACTTTTAATTTCTAGGGATCTATTTTATTAATGGCAATATCAGGTTATGAGTTCAAGTAATACTACTTTTTCTTAGTTTCTTTTAGTCAATGATGTTTTAGATTCATTTATTTGTGTTAATTGTATTCCAAAGTACATATGCAAGACATGAATAACTTGAAAATGTAATATAAAATGGATCATATGTTAGTATCATAATATAACACACCTGGCCAGACACATGCAACATATCAGTAATTGGAACTATGGGTTCTGGCTTCAAGTCAAATAACTTAGAGGCAGAATCATGGTAATCTTCCTGAAGTATTGTTGCCTTTATTTGAATGGTATTTGACAAAGCCCTAAAAGTGATATGTGCAGTAGTTATACACAAATATTTTCATGAAAAGGTTGTCTTGAACAATATTAAAATGCGTTTTGTTTTGTTTACCATTCTGCCAATTGAGTTGCTCTTTCAGATTTTGGATACAGCTTCAGGTCTGAGTCAAACCGTGTTGCTAAAGCCACACCTGCAATAAACATAGATGCAACTACAGATGAATCAAGCATTCAAGACGTGAGTCTTGTGTGTTTTTGCAAAAGAATATACTCAGTTTTTATGGGAAATTCCAAATTTGAATCAAACAAATTAAAATTTAGGGCAAGTTTGTAGCAGCATTAACGACTATGAAAAGTTATTGAAGACACCTGTTAGAAGACTCATCATTATATCTGCTTACACAATAGTGGGGGTTCATAACGTGGATAAAAGGTGAATGAAAAAAATTAATTGAGTGTACAGTTTAAATTTAAAGTTCAATAACACGAATAAGTTTTAGGAAAAACACATCTTGAGATCGTTTAACAGACATTAAGCATTTGCTAAGAAGATTTTTCCTTTACTAATACAAGCTTACATACGGGAAAAGATGAAAAAACACTTCAGAATGATTCATGTGATGAGATAATCCGAAGTGTAACCGTTTGGTGAGAACGGGGGTTATAGTAATGGTCGTCTAATCAAAATAATAGCACGAAAACTAAAAGCATAAAACAATTATGATCCTGGCAGATTAAAATGTAACATGAAATCACTTAGGTAGTTATTATATATTATGCTTTGCAGCTACTTTAACTTAAATGTAATAGCAATAACATGAGTTTACTTATTTTGGAACTCATGAATTTGTAGGGGAAGTAAATGAGAAAGTTAACTGACAAGAAATTCTGAGAAAGAAAATTCTGAGAAAGAAACTCTGCCATAAAAGAAATTCACACTCAACAGATCAATTCAACATATTTGTTCAACCTCATTTTTTTAATTCTTTTACAGAGAATAAAACACCATATTCAAAAAATATGTCAGTAATTTAAAAGCTACTCCGATTTTCATACGTGAGTAATTCAAAAAATCCAAGTTAATTTTACTGCACTTTACGGGTGAAACCAAACATTAAAACAATTTTTTTCCTTAGTTAGTATTTCTTATGCTACAATTTGCCTAGATGACATTGAGTTCATTTTGGTACTATACCCAGTAAATGCCAGAGGAAGATAATTAGAAAAAAGAGATGAGAAATTCCGAGATACGAAAATGTGGTGAGGGGAGTAAAATAATCGAGCTGAATAAATGAATTGTAGATATTTGTTCAACCTCGCTTATTTTGTCCCTTTTTTACTTTGAACAATGTCCCTTTTAGTGATGCTAAACTTACCACTACTTTAATTCTGTTTGGCTCTGTCTCACATTATTTGGCATTCTTGTAGTCGCTATTAGTCATGGGTAGTAGAGTATATTAACAAGAGTTTATTTATCAAATAATGAACTAAAGGGTTATTTAGAAGCACCCAAAAAATGAAATTTGTAGGGGAACAAAAAATCATTTTCAGTTCATTTCGGAACCAAGAAAATGCTAGGGAAGTAAATGAGAAAGAAAAGTGATAAGAATTTTTTAGAAAGAAAATTTGGGTTAAATAAAAGAAATTTGATCTAAACTAATGGATTCAAGCTATTTGTTCGACCCTATTTATTTTTTTTTATTTTTTTTACAGAGTATAAAGACAACAAAATCTTTTACAGAGTATTCTAAAAGTTATGCCTGAAGGTCATTTTACTGGACACTCCTACGGTGAAACCAAACATTAGAATAACCATTTTCGCTAGCTAGTTTTATTTTATGTTACAATGTGCCTAGATTACTTTGAGAGTTTGAGTTTATTCTGGAACCTGGAAAATGCTAGGCGAAGTAAATGACAAAGAAAAGAGACGAGAAATTCTGAGGGATGAAAATTTGGGGGATCAATGTCTGAAGCAGCAGGAGTGTGGTGCAAAATTAGAACTGAACAAAAATAATAGACTTGTTGCCAATGATCATGAGGATGAGCAACAAAATAATAATCCTTACAGTGTCGGTGTCACTGGTAAGCGTGAACAGGTGAATGGTAAGAAAGATGGTAAGGTTACACTGTTGTTCAAGATTGCTCTTATAGAGTTAGTCAAAGAGATCCTGAAGCCGAAATGGAAAGAAGGTCCGATGATCCGAGAAGTACACAAGACTATTGTTAAGAAGGTGGTTAGTTTTTCTGTCGCCACAATTTTCCTAGACCGAAGAATCGCCTAGATGTTGAATATCACAAAAGGGGTCTGCCTGAGCTATTAACTACCTTAATATAAGTGTCATGTTTTTCATGGCAAGTTTTTTCAGACCAAAGCATCGCCTAGATGTTGAATATCACAAACACAGCGGTGAGCAAGGAATATATAATCTCATTCTAAAGTTATTAACTATTAACTATTAAAGTTATTAGCTATTAAAAAAACTTATTCTATCAGGATCAAAAAACGGTTAGCAGGGATACATAATCCCATTCCAAAGTCATTAACCATTAACTATTAATATAAATTATGGAGTAATTAATTAATGGGGCGATTAGTGTACTGTATACACAAATGAATAAACATACAACCTACCATATATACACACACACACGCATATAAAGTCCACTTATGCACTTTATACAGTCGTGGATAAGTATCATATCCTAAGAGTGAAGAAATTGAACAAAGTCACATTTTAAAAAAGAGATGGAAGAGGCTAGGGAGGTGTTCATCACCTATTTAAAAAAATGGTGGGCTGGAAAAACCTAGCAATAGTGATAAGAAAGCAAATATTATGTTGATGAAGGAGGAGTTGCAGGGGCTGCTGTTTCCAGTAGTCCAACCAGATTGGAACAAATAACTTTTATAGTTTCTTTTCTACTCCATAATATTAAGTTTGTTGCTAGAAAAACTTAATTTGGGGGAGATGAAGGGCATTGAATACTTCCTCTTTTCCAGGAGCATTCCCTCTGTCATCAACATTTTTTTTAACTTACCCGTGGGCTTAAATCTTAACCTATCTAAGATGGAGTATATAAACAATGTTGTAGAGAAACATTTGTAACAAACTGCATATGACAAGCACAACAGGCACCCCAAATCTTTCAACTGACTTGACCTAGGAAAAGTATCAAACATCTGCCACGCGCAAGCTAGTGCAATTTTTTATAAGAAATCCTTATTGCATCGAGGTTAACATAAATATTTCTTATCCAGGTTAATATCAGTGCATCCAATTCTACCAGTCATGTATGCACTCTGAAACACAAATAAAAAACAAAACAACAAACACAAGGGAGAAAATGCACCAAATAAGCTGTAAAAGTTAGAGAAGAATGGCACACTAACATGCAAAGCTCTTAACCAGCTGAGTGAAAAGATGCGAAATGCAGAGAAAATCCCATTTATACACGCGGGGGAGGAAGAGTTTAAGTATTCTGAAACTGAAATATAATTGAGCAATAACTTCATGTGGATGCTCCAACTTCTGGAACGGTGGCTGGAAAACCATGTCCCCCCAGCTTCACAAACGTATTGTGGAGGAAGAAAGGAGCAATCCATATTAACCTAACGATTTTTTTATCGTTAGCATCACAGACGCGCACACCGTTAACGTATTTCATGAATAGGTCCGAGTAAACATTACAATAACGCGTAGCTCAAAAGGACTTAACGGAATAAGGAGCATTTAATATCAAATCTGTCCTTTATTAAAATAGGTTAAGATAAGTAGTCTAGTATATACTATCGACGTGTGTTCTCAGTGTTCTATTCCTTGGCACATTGGTCAATGCAAGACTCGATAAGTAATGCCAAGGTTCAGGCTTGGTTAATCTTTAAGGCCCAATTGTCATTGTTTGGAATTTTGGACACGTATGGACCTTAGACTGGGCCCAAAACCCATAAGCCAATTAGTCTAAACTCTTTGGGTATGTTTGGCACAACTAGCTGAAAAGATACTTTTGTGAGCTTTTTAGTAACTGTTAGCTTTTAGTGACTGAAAAGATCTTAAAAAGAAAAGGTGATAGCTGTTTGGTAAAAAGCTGACTGTTTGATTTAGTTCGGTTTGGTGTACAAGCTGTTAGGACTAATTAATACTAAAAGTCACGAGCTTTTCTCAGATGCTACACCCGGTAGCATCTCAAAAAAGATCTTTTAATTTTTGAAAAGCTCTTAAAAAATGTCATGCCAAACATACAACTAGAGTCTTTTAAGGTCTTTTTAAAGAAAAGAGAAGCTAGAAGGCAGAGGCTTTTGTGTGCCAAACATGGCCTTTATCTAATGTTTATCTAAGCTTAAATACATTTTGAGTTTCATTAAAAACAGTGTACGTAGTATTATGGAACACTATATTTGTTGTTATAGTAGTTGTGTATTACTATTACACAAGGATTTAAGTTTTATTTATTTAAAAAATAGTGACAAAGTTTATGATAATGAAAAGGGGAAATTAAATAAAATACCCTGAACTTTGGTTAAGTGTTATTTCCTCACCCTGAACTTCTATGTGTGAATTAAATATCTCCTACTTTATTTATTTGAGTTTTTAGTACCCCATCATACAGTTAACGGGACATATCCTCGATCCAGCTAGCGATAGAAATTCCACGTTGGCAAAATTCTCCCTCTCTACCCTCCTGCGAAACACTCTGTCTCTCGTATCACATTTACGCCTTTTCTTCTTACTCCCACTTCACCAGGTCTGAAGAAACCCTAGCAGCGACGACCATGAATGAAGCAGCGGCGACAATCGACTATAGCACAAGACGGCGCCAAATTTCACATACCGGAAGTTTGACATTTGGGAGTGGAGGATTAGGAGATTCGACTTCAAATATAAAGTGGTGTTATCACAAGCTCCCTGCTAATCTCGAAACTATATCGACGGAAGGAAAGAATCATGGTCAGAGATTTCACAGGTGTTCTAATTGGAAGGTACGAGTTAAATTTTCATTTAGCAGTGGGTTAATTGTTCATATTTGTTTTCATTTATTAGCTATGTTAAATTTTATAGGTCAATTATTGTCGCTATTTTGAGTGGTTTGACAAAGAGTAATACTCCCCCGTGCTATAGAAGTTATCAATTGTTTGAAAAGGAAGAATGATGAACTTGTTGAGGAGGTGAAACAATTAAAGTTTGACAGTGGAAAAAAATCATGACATCACGTGGAGAATTGGCAACTAGAGAAAGTTGGGATGAATGCTAAAGGTATATGCAGTTGTCATGGCAAGAGGGAAAAAACGATTGAGCTGAACATGGAAAAAGCTAAAGAGAAGAAGAAGGCATTGAAGACTAAATTGTTGATATTGCAAACTAAGTTGAAGAAGAAAAACGGAACATATGTATCAAAGATAGAAATTGAAAGTGTAGTAGCTAGATTTGTAGTTGTTGGATACTTGGATTTGTTTTAGTTGGTGTATTTGTGGTAATTGTCTCATTCATTGTAAGTAGTGTATTCATTAGTTAGTTTATGATTTCTTTTGTAAAGGGGATGTCCCCAGTTGGGTTTGGAACTCTTGATTTGTAGTGTATAAAGTTATAAACTTACTTATTTGAATTGATCTTTTTGTGTTAAAAAAGTGAATGAGATGGTCATTTTAGAAATGTATTTGTCATTGTTAGATATTAGTTGCAGGTAATAAATTTATATTAGTTATGCATAAACTGGAAAGTAGAGTGCCTGAAATCAGTTCTGAAATTTTAAGTATAGTGCATTGTTAAGCTTATGCATTAAACTGTTAATGCATTAAACTGAAAATGTAAGTATATGACAGTGTCAAGTATAGTGCAGTAGCCTATACATTTGTTAACTAAAGTGCTGAAATATATATTTCTTTTGATTATAGTGCAGCTCTGATCCCACCTATATATATAACTAAAGTGCATTACAGTGCAATATATAACTATAGTAGCCTATATATAACTAAAGTGCAGTATAGTGCAGTAGCTTATACAGTTTTAAGTATAGTGTAGCTCTGAAATTTTATATTTCTTTTTATTCTAAGATGAATCAGTTCACTGAAAATGTAAGTATAGTGCAGTAGGCTATACATTTGTTAACTAAAATGCTTTGGTTGTAATTCTAAGCCAACTTATCCCACCATAGTTCTGATCCATCCTCTGAATGGGAAACTCCTATCACTACATTAGTTAGCATTTCATATCCCATTCTCAATTTAGCATGCGATCTATCTCAATATCCCATTGTACGCATGAGCTATTATAAATGCTCTTATTAATGCTCTGAAATTCTCAAAGTCAGAAACAAGTCGAAGAAGTGAAAGCAAAGCAAGCCACTTGTGATAGTAAAGGTGATGAGTGCAAACACTATCAAATTGATGGGAGCAATAGCAGGTATTTTGCACATGCTAGGCATATTTGTAATGTTACAACTACAAATCACTCCTTAAATTCAGGATGTATGTGTTACTTGAAAAACCACAGAATATACATTTTTCTTTTATTCTAACAAGCTTGTATTAGCGTACATGCAAAGTTTATCAAACTTGCATTGTATATGGAACCAAATGAGTAATAAGAAACCTCATACAGTTTATTAGCGTACATGTATATTGACAACACTGATGCACAGAATGACAATCAGTTTATACTCACTCACTACTTATCCAATTTATTAGAAACCTCATACAACAATATATATAATTGAATTGTATATGGAACAAAATGAGTAATAAGAACATCAGACCTGACTACATAAGGACAAATAAGGAACAAAATGAAGCAAAAAATGGTTTCATTGCCTTACCATAAAGTTTGTCAGAAGTCAGAACATAGCAATACATGACCTTTACAAAAAATGGCCTATTCAGATAAGCAAAAAAACACCTAATACTGGCCTGCACTGGTGTAAAAAGATGTAGCAGTAGTTTGCAAAAAAAGAACCAACATTGACCTTCACAAAAAAACAACTAACACTGATCTGCAATACACTGATTGATCAACTAGGTTTAGCATGTATATTCTCATAATCTTGTCTATTGCAAGTATGGTTAGGATTCAAAAACTTCACAACGAATGACTCTTTAAGTCCGTCCCAAGAAGCGTATATTCTCCAGACACATCCCTCTTTACATCTGGCTGCAATCTTCACCTTTTAACTTTTACTAAACCTAATGCTATACCCTGCAATTACAGCATACCTCACAACTTGTTTTTTGAAAATTTCAGGTGAAGCAAACTTCATTCCCACTTTCCATACTAACATTTTAAGTGTAGCATCATTATCAACTCTGTATGTAACACTCTCCTTCTACGCACCAATATAATCTCACCTTCATCCCCGCTTCTAGTTGTTGTGAGCGAATAATTTTCAGAATTATCACTATCATAAAATGGTTCAAATCCATCACATTGATTTTCAGCAAGCAAATTCGAATTGTAGCAGCTCAGCTTTTTTCTACTACCAATCCATTCTTCATCACTTGAAGAACAACCACTACAAATATCCTCTCTTTGAACAGTTTCACACTCATTCTCTTCACCCCCTTCCACTTCTTGAATAAAATGGCTCGCCTCCATATTCCGCTACAATTATAACCCTAATATAAGAACAACAAGCTCGAAAGTAATCACGTCAAATCTACTTACTGTGAAACGCGACTCTCACGCAGCAAACTTGTTGTTTTAGCTAGCTTTGTCATCGTCTCTTCTGTTCTTTGTGAGCTCAAGAACGACGGTCTTCTGGGAAAATAGTTTTTGAAATTTCAGTTCTGCCTTTCCCTAACTAGAAGCATGGATTTTAATGTTTCCCCAAATAGATATTTCATGGCTTACATGGAATAAAAATGACAGCTAGATGTTTTTATGCTTGATTAATTTCACACTGGGGTACAGTTAGCTCAAGTTTCACATTTCGGGGGTATTGCTTTAACATTCACAAGTATATGGTGGGGAGCTCATACCTAGGTTTAGTTGGGGGTATTTTATTTATTTTCTCCTAATGAAAAAGGAAAGCTGACAAAATTAGAAAAGACGGAAATTGAGTCGAGTAGGGGATGATTACATATCTTATCGTACATGTCACGTTGGATAATTTTGTTTCTCGTAATTGTCTGTTATCCAATGGATAAGTTTTACCCAAATGATAACCGCCCAATCGAGTAAAGAGTATAACAACGAGTAATCGTTCAATTAAATGGATCGGTGATGTTTTCATATAAATAATAAATATTCTAGAAAGCACGAAATGGTACTGCCTAGATGATTATAGATATCAAATGCACTTAAAAGTCTCGTAAACTCACAAAACGAATGAGAAAAATGGTAAATAAGTACAGTCTAAAAGTACTTAGACTGGAAAACTATATTATCAAGTAAATGTGATAATAGTCAAATTGGAAATTTGAGCCTATGACCCCGTTTGTTTTTCGGCGGATTGCGGCCTAATTGCCGCAAAATGCAGCTTTTTACCATTCAAAACAATCAACGGATTGCTCAAATCGATACTATCCAAACGGGGGCTATATAGGACTCAGGGAGTGTTTGCAACTGCTTAAAAAAAGCACTTCTCTGCTTTTGGCTTTAAAAAGCACTTATTTACCAAACACTACCAATTTTTACTTTTTCTCGGCTTGCGTGTGAAAAGTGCTTTTCCCTTTTCTATTACACAAAAAACACTTATTTTACCAAACACTACCAACTTTTGCTTTTCAAAATCACTTTTTTCTCAAAC